GTCCTTGGTCATCTATTCGATCCTTGCGGGTTCATTATCTCTAAAGCGAGTCGACTTCAAGGCCAAGGTCGTGGATGCACCCGAGATCAAGGCCATTCTTGGACCTGGAGAGGACCGCTTGGCTGCTCTGACCGGCGAGGTATCTTCCGGGCCCGGAGCCCAGGATGAGGAGATGAAGGATGCTACTGTCACCAGAGCCGCGCCAACCACGGCTACCACTGTGGTTAACCTCACTACTCTGGGAGCGGGATCTGGCATTCAGTCTGAAACCGAAGCGCCCGTCGACTTTTCGCCTCTCGCAAACTTGGTCGACAGCCTGTATACCGGCAACTACCGCACTTTCTTCGTAGCATTGGCAGCCGTGGAGGACAACTTCCTGAACCAGGACCGGTACTTGCACGAGCACCGCGCGTGGTTTGTGCGTGAGATGAGACTTCGCGCGTACCAGCAACTGCTTCAAAGTTATCGCGTTGTTGGCCTGAACAGCATGGCCAGCGACTTCGGCGTCACCGTAGACTACCTGGATCGGTAAGTCTGCCATGGAACCATTGACTGTTAGATTGCATTGACTGACAGCTACAGGGATCTTGCCAAATTCATCGCCAGCAACCGGATTGCATGCACCATCGACCGGGTCAATGGCATCATCGAGACGAACCGACCTGACGACAAGAACAAGCAGTACGCGGATGTTGTGAAGCACGGCGATGCTCTGATTACGAAATTGCAAAAGTACGGACAAGCCGTGCGGTTGCGAGGAAGCGAACGGAGCTAGGGGAGTTCTTGCCAGGGAAGAAGTGGACTGATCTTGACTCACCACACATGGTTTATGACTCGCTAGATGAGAGACTCAGTGATTTATACATCTTTTGACACCGTTGACCATTGACACTGCGAGCGTCCAGACACGTGAGGCTGCTGTATCATACATATAATGACCTGAAGACAACATGACCTCAAGGAAATTGGCTAGTTGTGGGGAGTGGGCCAAAGCTATTCCCACCGACATCTGGTAGAACCAGGCAAGTCGTAGAGCCTATCTTCCTAGTCAAGTAGTAGATACTCCGTACCCGAGCCGAAGTTCGGGAGGCTCCGGAGAGCGTGTGGGATCATGGGGGATGACTGGTCGTTATTGGACCAACCATAGCAGACATGGGTGTAACGCAGTCCTCAGCCGCCTAGCCTCAAGCCACCGAAGAGTACGCAGTGCGACGCCCGTCTGTACAGTGTACACAATTGCCAGTCGATAGATCAAATCTCCATGCATAGAATCGACACGATCATTTCCTTCTGACAATGCCCTTCACGTAAAAGGAAAGGAACGGTTCCTGACCCGGTGAGGGAACCAGCTGAGTCATCTGCTCACCGCCCCGTGGGATTTCCCTCGTGGATTTCTGCTTTTTTTCTCCGTCTGGGATCTGCTCTCCGGCCCACGATCAGGCATTCTTTCTGTTCATTGTCGGCCTATCAGACGGTCTTACCTTGTTCTTTTGCTTCAAGGAGCACCCTGTCACGACGTCTCCCCGCTAGCCCCCACGGTGGAGAAGGCATAATCGTGCAATTGGCCGACATATTGGAGCAAGAGAGCCGACATAATGACCTGGCAAATTAAGCTCGCCTCTCGACTGCGGGCAACTCCGCTGCGATGCGCTGTTTCCCGGCCGAATGGTGCCTGGCTGTCGTGCCATCAGAACGGCCCGCGCCATTTCTCCTCCAAGGCAGTCTTACCCGCCGGCACTTTGCAGAGGGGTGAGTCTTTTTTTTTTTTCTTTTTACTTCCCCTCCTCCCGTGCTACTGCTGGTCATTGGATGTGCCCCCCCTCCCCCATGTTCCGATTGTCAGACGGCCTTCTCCAGCTAGCCCCGATCTTGTGACATCCGGTCCCCCGTATACTTCCCATACAAATGGAACCTACTCCGCCATCTGGGCAGAGACTCTCTGTTCTCGTCCTACAAAGGGTCAGTTAGCTAATCATACCCTACGACCATCACAGAGTCCACCATGACCGTCACCTTCACTGCTAAGCGCACCCTGACCGCCTCCTCCGGCGGTCGTCTCAACTTGGACAACATCAACCCCCACGTCAAGGCCGCCAAATATGCCGTCCGTGGTGAGCTGGCCGTCAAGGCCGAGGAATACCGTGTGAAGCTGGCTCAGGGAGACAAGTCGTTGCCTTTCGACAGTGTCATCTTCGCCAACATTGGCAACCCTCAGCAACTGGACCAGAAGCCCATCAGCTTCTTCCGTCAGGTCCTCAGTCTTCTCGAGAACCCCTCCCTGCTGGAGAACCCTGAGGCTCTCCGTACGTCGTTCGGCTACCAGCAGGATGTCATTGACCGGGCCAAGACCCTTCTCGCCGACGTCCAGAGCGTCGGTGCCTACAGTCACAGCCAAGGTGCCCCTATTATCCGTGACAGCGTCGCCAAGTTCATCGAGGAGCGTGATGGATTCCCCGCTAACCCCCAGGACCTGTACCTGACCGGTGGTGCCTCCTCCGGTGTCAGCACCCTTCTGAACGTCATCTGCGATGGCCCCAGTGCTGGTGTCCTTGTGCCCATCCCTCAATACCCTCTCTACACCGCTACATTGTCCCTTCTGAACGCCCAGTGCGTTCCTTACCACCTGGAGGAGCACAGGGCCTGGGGTACCGATGTGAATGCTATTCGTGAGAACCTTGCGCAAGCCAAGGCTGCTGGCACCGATGTGCGTGCCATTGTTGTGATCAACCCCGGTAACCCGACCGGTGCTTCCCTCAGTGCTGAGGACATCAAGGGTGTGCTCGACCTGGCCGCGGAGGAGAAGCTGGTGGTCATTGCGGACGAAGTCTACCAGACTAACGTCTTCACCGGCGAGTTCATCTCCTTCAAGAAGAGACTCCGTCAGCTGCAGCAAGAAGTGCCCGGCAAGTACGACAACGTGGAGCTGGCCTCCCTGCACAGTGTCTCCAAGGGTATGGTTGGTGAGTGTGGTCACCGTGGTGGCTACTTTGAGCTGGTCGGATTCGACCCCGAGGTTGCGGCCCAGGTCTACAAGTACGTCAGCATCATGCTCTGCCCGCCGGTTATCGGACAGTGCTTGGTCGAGCTGATGGTGAACCCTCCCAAGGAGGGTGAGCCCAGCCGCGCCGTGTACGAGAAGGAGTACAATGGCATTCGGGACGGTCTGCGCAAGCGCGCCTTTGCCCTGTACGAAGCCTTCCAGCGCATGGAGGGTGTTGAATGCCAGGAGCCTCAGGTATGTACTTTCAGTGACAGTAGAGCATCCTACGGACGGTTCACTGACTAATGAATTAGGGCGCCATGTACCTCTTCCCCACTATCACCCTTCCTCCCAAGGCCGTTGAGGCCGCCAAGGCCGAGAACCGTGCCGCCGACGAGTTCTACTGCCTCCGTCTCCTTGACGCCACTGGTGTCTGCGTCGTCCCCGGCTCTGGATTCGGCCAGAAGGAGAACACCCTGCACTTCCGTACTACTTTCTTGGCTCCTGGAACCGACTGGGTTGAGCGGATCGTCAAGTTCCACTCGGAGTTCATGGCCAAGTACAAGTAAGCAGAACCGGTAGATATACCAGCTGCACGTGTTATGAAGATATATAGAGTTATACCATATTCTTTCTAGAAGACGGACATACCAAATAGAACCCCGTTAATTTCCGAGAAGCTGCCGCTTTCCTCGGTCGTATATATCACATGCCTACATTTCCCTGAGTGCTAAACTGAGTAAACCAAACGAAGAGACGGCCATAATTTACGTAAATGTGTCTCAGGCACCATCAGCGCAAAAGTTTGTTTGTCATAGTATTCGCACAATACAACTAAATAAATAACTCACTTACTTAACCGCATCCACATGGCATCGACGTTAAGTTTTCCCCACGGGTCCATCCCCAAACATCGATCAATTGCCGTCCAAGTGGAGACCGCCCACCACACAACAATGACCCAGATTTTCTGGGGTGGAACCGATGTATGAGTGATTGAAATGATTCAGGGGCCGAGGATAGCCGATCCACTCCATCTTTTTCTGTTCTATTTTATTTTGGGTTGGTTATGTGCGGGATTGTGGGGGTTAAAGTAGGGTTTTCCGTATAGGCTGGTTTAGTAGTAGGGTTTTCCTATTTGGACTTTTCAAGATACGTTGGGAAAATAACTCAGTTCTTTGGTTTTCAGTATCGATTTATCACTATGCTACTTTTTCCAGGTTAGCGGTGTTACTAGTTGGGTAGGTTGAGCGAGGTCTTGAATATTATGTTTTAGAGTACCACTAGTCAATTGGCGGGTGGTGAAGTTCTAAGATCCAGACATTGCGGAGCAGATAGAGAAATGGGAATTATCTTGGTGATTAGATTCCTTTCTTCTTCTTTTCCAATGCGATGTTAAGTTGTCAGAACTCATCGTGTTCGGAAAGACTTGAGCTTGCAACTTTTTAGATGACTAGTAACACTGTGTTACTCAAAGTCCTGAAGTCTTGACGCGCTTACTGTGAGTGATGATAGGGTACAAAGGTCTAATGGTTTTAGGGCAGTACTTACTTACTATTGTCTGACATTTGGACTCACACCAGTGAGATGCCAATGGTTAAGTCTATATTGTGCAGTCGTTTAGTCAGGAACTGAGAATGTTCATGTTATATTCATACTAATAAGCAGATAGCGATACTGATGTCATGAAGTACAAATGGCTAGCTTGATGGAAGGACGATCATTTGATGTCTGATGTGAGTATGGTGAGTCAGGAGTTGCAATACCATTTGTATGTAGTTACGACATGTGAGTCCCCATATACTGCCAGTAATCGTGATATGCAAAAGTATCAAACATTAGAAACACGTCGAGAAACTACATATTTTCTACATCTCCATTTCGTGATTCTCATAGAGTTTCATCCGTGCAATCGATCACAAGTCATTGAAAATGATTATGTCATCCACCCCCGCCTTCAGGCGCAAGTTATCGCGAATTCCTCCCCAACAAAGTGCGCCAGGGAGCAGCAGTCTTGTGTCGCAAACAAGCACCAGCCAATCTAAACCTCCGTTAAATAAGGCATGCTCAAAAGACTCAACACCGAATACTTGTGGCACATCATTGATTTCGAACATGGGTGACAAGGATGACGGTCCGCTCCAGGTTAGTCTGCCTAAAATTGTGCACGCCTTGCACCAATACAAACCGCAAGTGCACAAACGGGGTGTAAACAGCTGATGCTGAGAACGAATCGCGTCGTAGGATCTGGAAAAGACGTACTGCCCTCCTCTAGACCCTGCCTTGCTCACAGCCATCGCGTTCGACTATGACCTGACGGACTCTGCCCAACTTGACCAACTTCGCGAGACTCTGGATGCGCTTCGGCTGTCTGCTTGGGAACAGGAGGATCTGCCCTTCGACCCTTCCGGCACATCCGGTTTAGGTGCAGGACATGGTCCAGAAGCAGATGGGTCGTCTGAGCTTAGTGAGTCCCAGGGTGACCGGTCGCGGGAGACAGATATCACTAGCCTCACGTCAGGGTTCTCTTCGGTCGGTATTAGGGACCATGTCTCGTATACTATTGGACCGGATGGGTCTCTCCATCTGTCTGGAGCGAATGAAGATGATAAGATTGGCTATTTGACTGAGATGTTCCCATCAGTTGACCGGTTTACTATCCAGCATACGTTGAAGAAGTCTAATGGGAGCATTGATCGCTCGATGGACGTCCTACTCAACCTATCGTTCTTTGATGAGCAAGTACCTGACGAGGATGGGGTGGTCTCTGTTCCTAAGGGCGTGGACGGCTTTGATGACCCCGGAGCAGGCAAGAAACAAGCTCGTAAGCGCAAACCCAAGAATAAGAATGCTCGGAGACAAGAGGTCTTATCGTCGACGAGCTCCGAGGCTAGCTTCGAGAATACAACGAACAAGTGGGATGCTGCTGGAAAGGACGTTGAGTTCATTCATGCGCGAACCTCAGCGATCTTAAAGAAGGAGACCGTCCGCTCAACTTATCATGCTAATGGAGCCTCACTTCCTGCTACAATCAGGGCTCTTGCCGATACACACGCTCCAAAAAAGCAGATCGATGAGGACCCAGTCACGGTTACGCAAGTGGCTGAGCTCACGCAAGAATTCCCTTCAGTGCCGCCGCTCACATTTGCCGGCTTACTCAAGATCACGAGGAGTTCTATATCGGCCGCCAGTGAGCTCGCGGCGGCTATGCTGACAAGCCCGGTGGCTCCGTCCTTGACTGAGATAATCAAGATCACTACAGCACCCCCACCAGTGGACGTTGACGAGGAGACTCCGAAACGAGGCGCTACACCGGTGACCCGAGACCTCAACCGAGCGAGAAGTGCAGCAGGCGTGCACTTTGCAGCTGGTGCTGAAGCTTTGTCGAAGGCATCGGTCGCATACCGGCGCGGTAAATCAGATCGGTTGATGGGAGGTGCGGCTGCCTACTATTCCGCAGTAGGACGAGATCACTTGGAACGCGCCAAACGCAATGCCGCTGCTGCTGCCGATGCTCTGGTCGACTCACAGTCTACATGGAACTCGCTCGATCTGCATGGTGTATCCGTGCAGGATGCGGTGCGGATCTCTAGCGAGCGGGTATCCGAGTGGTGGGACTCCCTGGGCGATGCAAAATATATGCGTGGCAGTGGAGCCAGCAATCCTGTTCAGGGTGGCTACCGCATTGTCACTGGACTTGGACGGCATAGTCATGATGGCACTTCCCGCCTGGGCCCGGCTGTAGCGAAGATGCTGGCCCGGGAAGGCTGGAGAGTGGAGATTGGCGCCGGAGTTTTGACTGTCGTTGGAGTTGTCCAACGTCGCTGATGCATGGCATGATGGATTTTGTTTACCCTTTTATGTCCCCATTTGGCGACTGATGCATACGAGATACCCGGAGGCGTTCATGTAGACAGCGGATCTGGAAGGCGCGCTTTTGCTAGTTTTGCTAGACATTTGTTGTACTTAACATCTGTTGTACATACATGCGTACAGAGCTTGGAGACAGGCATTTTCATGACGATTTGATGAAGACTGAACTAGCTCTTGATGTTCTTTAATTCGAAGGCAATATTAATATGGGGAAAATAGTAAGACAAGAGGGAAGTTGTGGTGTTTCCGTCCGGATGACGTAAAAAGCCCAAGCAAATCGGAGCTTCAGCGGCGACCATCAATGAAAGCGATTAACTGATTAATCTTCACTTTTCTTTCTTGAGACCTTCTGCTCGTCAGCGACCAACTGTCATACCCATCTCCTATCTTTCGTCTAACTATACCTTATTGAATCAAACCCCGATGCGCTTCCAGGGCCTGATCCCCGCCCTCCGCATCTTCGCACTACCCCTCCGATCGCACTCCGCCCGAGCCCTCCAGCGACCTCCTCTCCCCATCCCCAGCGCAACTGTCCTCAAAGCCGGTCCTACGATCCCCTTCCTCGGCGCATTATTCGGCTCTAGCGCGAAAACCGACTCTCAGTCTAACAACATGTCCTATCCCGACCAGCGCAGTGACGATGCATGGCAGGCTGTGCTAAGTCCTGGTATGTATAGCTTTACCCTCATTCTCTACCTACTTACCCCTCACCTGTTCCACCGTGCTAGCTCTCTATTGGTATGAAAGAAACTAACGCAAGTCAACAAAAGAGCAATTCAAAATCCTCCGTCAAAAGGGCACAGAGCGACCCTTCACGGGCGAATACGATGCCCACTACCCTTCCCAGGGAGTCTATAACTGCGCGGGATGCGACGCGCCGTTGTACAAGGCGACACATAAGTTCAAGTCGGGATGTGGGTGGCCCGCGTACTTTGACTCCATCCCTGGAGCTGTTACAAGACATACAGATCGGTCATTTGGAATGGAGCGCACGGAGATTGTGTGTAGCAACTGTGGGGGACATTTGGGACATGTGTTCAAGGGAGAGGGATACCCGACTCCAACTGATGAGAGGCATTGTGTGAATAGTGTGAGTTTGCGGTTTAAGGAGGATGAAGGCCAGGGGAACTGAAAAGGGGTATAGGTGGAAAATAAATAGTGAACTTTCGGTGTAGAGTACTGTAGTTGTATGATGAAGAGATGAAGAGATGAGACGAAGACGAAGATGAATATGACGATCGTCGCTGTTTGTATGCGACACTGGTAACTCTCATACAATAAATCAAAGGCAATCAATCTATATCAAACTGCATCGCTGGCACGTGCCGTTCGCCTGTCGGAGGTCAACCCACCGCCTACCCAAGTGTAATGCCTGAGGCCAACAAGACACCGCAACCCGCCACTTGGTGGCCCTTGACGTCTCTCTCCCCGTTTCAACTCCCCTTTATTATTGTCTCTCCTTTCTCTCCTCTCCGGTTGCATTCCCTGGTAGTTCAACCCGGACTGCGTCCCTAGCTGTGATGTCTCGACGCGCTACGCCGTCCCAGGCTGCTCAGAACCAGCAGATCATCAAGAGTCTGCTGAAACTCGAACAAAACAAGATATGTGCCGATTGCAAGCGCAATAAGCGTTAGTGACTCCCCGCGGATAACGCCCAACTTACGCCTGTTGTGTTTTGCCGTCACATATATCATTCAATGCGAATGTCCGGTGCCTAATGCGATCGCATGCTAATATTGTTTCATTTAGATCCTCGGTGGGCATCATGGAACCTGGGAATCTTCATCTGTATCCGTTGCTCGGGCATTCATCGCGGCATGGGCACCCATATCAGTCGGGTGAAGTCGGTCGACCTTGACTCATGGACGGACGAACAACTTCAGAGTGTTGTGAGATGGGGAAATGCTAGGGCCAACAAGTTAGTGTCTTCCATTACACATTCGGTGTTCTGGGACTTTTAAGCTCATTGTCTATGGCAGATATTGGGAAGCGAAATTGGCACCCGGCCACGTCCCCTCGGAAGCGTAAGTGGATATCTCCCCCGCATGCTGGTCAACTTGATGGCATCGTGGCTAAGTGGATGGTGTGGACAGGAAAATTGAGAATTTCATCCGGACAAAGTACGAATCTAAGCGATGGGTCATGGACGGCCCAATGCCCGATCCCAAGACCCTGGATATTGGCGACGACGATGTGGTAAGTTGTCCGAAGTTGTGTAACCTTAAACGATGAGACTAACGCATGTCGTCAAAGCCTCTCGCAGTGGTTCAAGAAAAAGCGAAGATTGAACGCTCCGCTTCTCAGCGTGTGGCTGCGTCCAGTCAACCCGCAGTCCATCGCCAGCAACAGTCCATCGATCTATTCGCCGACGACCCTATCGCCCCTCCGGCGCGTCCGAGCACGACAGAGCCCACCCCCAGGGCACCCCCTAAGCAACCACAGTCTGCTCCTGCTCCTAAGCCAGCGGCTCGTCCCGGGGACTCGCTACTTGGCTTGGACTTCTTCGGAAGCGCTCAGCCCGCCCCTACCAGCCGCCCAGCTAGTACGGCATCGACCCCTACCGGTTCGACCGGGATGTCTAGGCCCGACTTGAAGCAGTCGATTCTCTCGCTATACTCGAAGCCTCCGCCTACTACGACGCAGCACGAGCGTACCTCTTCATTCGGCGATCTGGCATCACCCGCCCCGGGTTCATCGGCCTCCAACATGGGTGGCCTGACGGATGCTTTCAGCGGACTGAGCATTCCCTCGTCCACTTCCCCTCCGGCTCCTAAACCAGCTGAGAAACCCTCACCTTTCGCCAACCTGACCAACTTTGCCAGCATGAAGTCTACTCCCGCAGCTCCCAAGGTGTCTTCGCCCACTGCCTCAGTTGGTAGTGGGGGTGGTAGTCTCTTTGATAGCCTCACTTCTCCCACTGTCCCCCCACCAAAGCCGCAGTCCCGGACCGCATCAATCTCATCGAACGGTTTTGACGCCGGATTTACCAGCTTTGCGTCTCCTCCGCCGCCGAAGCCTAACCCCCCTAAGTCGCCTTTGTCTGACGACTTGTTCGGGCTTTCTTCGCCGGCCCCGGCCGCCCCGGCTGCTGTCTCTCCTCCGGCGTTCTCATCTACCTCTCCGCAGCAGGAGTTGAAGTCTGCTTTCAACCTCAACCCTGCTCCCGCTCCGGCCCCGGCTTCGAGGCCCTCAGTGGCTAGCACCGCGTCCGTCGCTAGCGTTCTTCCTCCAACTACCATCGATCCCTGGGGAGGTAACGCCTGGAGCACTCCAGACCCTGCGCCCGCAGCACCCGCAGCACCTGCCGCTTCGGCTTCGATGATGAAGGTGCCGGATACCCTGACTGCCAATGACATTGGTGCGGGTTGGGGCGCTCCGGCTTTGTCGGCTAGTTCCAAGCCGGCCCCAACCGTCGCTGCCGATGAGGACTTTGGCGGATGGACCAGCGCGGCACCCATCTCGTCGACCGCCACTACGACTACTACTACGAATGCTCCTTCCAAGCCGGCGGGCGGGTTTGGCGGAGCGGACGATCTATTTTCTAATGTTTGGGAGTAAAGGCTGTGCGCCATCTCGCTTTTGCCTTTTTGCACATATTTGGTGTTTATTGTCTATCTCTTAGACTTGAGCGGCAGGTTTCCAATGTCATTTCATTTCTATCCCGATCTCATCCGTTGTAACCGCTTTCTTCTTGCCTGTTTCCCCCTCTCTGCTTTGATGCCGTGCTTCTCTTTTGCTTTCCTTTCTCGCGCATGCCTAGGGTGGACATTGGGTTCGGATTGTAAAATGGGTGGGGTTATGGGTCCATAGCTTAATGTAGTCATGCCATACGTGTCATGTATTCCCAATGCATCCTTGCATATTAACGACAGGGGTTTAAACTTGGGGTTGGATGGCTGTAGTTGAGTTGACAAGCTGTAGATGTGCGGGCGCTCAGTCGATGCTGGCACCGGTAGCGCGGGAGTTACTATGTCAGTATCGAAGTGCTCGCTCCTTACTTACTTTCAGGATCACGTTTATTCTACTACCATCTTTGCCGTATTTTACACCCCAGGGACAAGGACAAGCGTGTTGTAGATATTAAGGAAGCGCAGGGCAGAAAGGGTGGGTCCTGAGGCCGCCACGGGCGATCCATCCATGGATTGGGACCCAATAACAGTCATCCATCCTACCTTCTTCCTCTTGCTCTTCGGCTTATCTCGTGTCACTCTCCGTGATGTCTACTTCTTCCAATAATCAGTCTCTTCATCCAAGCTCGCCGATATGAGCCATGTTCAGCCCTTGTAAATCTCAACTAGCAGTCTATGATTTTCCTTTTGACCGGCCACTAGCACAGAATTGGCCCTTATAATAATGAATCATCCCGAGCAGACAGCAGACGAAGCAGGCAACGTTCCGTCCGCACACTCCACCAACAAGCCCAAAGTGCGTCTGAGCTGTGAGACTTGTCGGCAGCGCAAAGTCAAATGCGACAAGCTGAACCCGTGCACGAACTGTCAGCGTCTCGGAACGAGATGCGTCCCCGTTGAACGGGCACGTCTTCCGCGCGGCAGATCCGGCAGGCTAGGAACGGAGCGACCAGGTGACCAGGATGCGAACCTGAAGGACCGTGTGTCGAAGCTGGAAACCATCATCCGTGAACTTGCTCGCGGGGGCAATCAGGCCTCCGCTCGCGCTATTATAGCTGCTGCTGTCGATGAAGGCTCACAGGCTGAGTCGTCGGATGGGGAGCATGGCGATGGCGATGACTCGCAGCCCGGTCGTGTTCGGACTCCGGATACGTACCTGGGATCTTCGTTTTGGGCCAGTCTCTTAAATGAGGTGAGTGAATTACTACAAACATCTACACATATCCAATGATCTGGTTGATTAGTTAACTCCTGGACAGGTGCCGGATGTACATCCCAGTGAGCAGGGTGGTTCCAAGGAAGACCACCGTAATGCTGAGAACAGCAATCTAATCAACTACCGCCGACTTTTCTCCATGGCAAGCGGCAGTGACTCCACAAACAGCAATGCTCCAGCCCCCTCACCTGCCCATCAGCAGCTATGCTGTATATTCATGCAGAGGGTAGACCTGCTCTGCAAGATCCTCCACAGGCCCTCGGTGAAGGAGTTCCTCGTGGATGGAAAGCCATATTTGGACTATGAGCCAGGGCATCTAGCCCCGACTGCCCTCGCCTACTCTGTATACTTCGCCGCCTCATGTAGCCTTCACGACGAAGAGAGCATGCGCTGCTTCGGCATCCCCAAGTCATCCATGGTAGCAAAATACCAAAAGGAAGCCGAAGCAGCCCTCGCCCGCGCTGACTTTATCACCACCAACGACCTCACCGTCCTACAAGCCTACGTCCTCTTCCTCGTATGTCCTCCAATCCTAACACTTCACACCCACTAACCATTCCATTTTAGCTCGCCCTCCGCTCCCAGGACCAAAGCCGCCGCATGTGGACAATGCTCAGCATGGCTCTGCGCATCGCGCAAGCCCTATCACTTCACATCCCCGAGCCCCCGTTCCACGTAACCCCCTTCGAGCGAGAACTCCGGCGCCGCGTCTGGCTCGCCATTGGTTTTCTGGACATCCAAGCATCCATGGACCGCGCTTCCGAACCGATGATGCAAGCCGCCTGGCTAGAATCTCACCCGCCAGCAAACGTGAACGACATCGACATAAGCCCAACCATGACCTCAAATCCACCCGACTCCCCAGGCTTCACAGATATGACCTTCACAATGATTACCCGCAAAGCACAATATGTAACCCGATCCCTCAACTTCTCCGACTTCATGGAACCCTCCATCAACACGCTCGCCATCCGCCAGCAACTCGTCCTCGAATTCCAGCAATCCGTCGCGAAACTCCTCGCTCACGCCTCCCCCGCAACCAACCCCCTTCACTGGCTCACAACAGCCGTAGCAGAATGCACACACGCCTCTATGCAACTCATCACCCTACGGCCCCTCCAACGCGCCCCAAACTTCACCCCGCCCCTCGTCCGTGGTGACCGTCTCCTCGAATTCGCAGTCAACGTTCTCACCGCAGCATATCGTCTCCGCTCTGACCCCCGCTTCGCCACCTACAAATGGATCGAATTTGCCTTCCCGCCCTGGCATAGTCTCGCCGTTGCTTTGGCAGAACTCTGCGTCTGCGACGACAAAGCCGTCATGGAACGCTTCTGGGATCCAGTCGAGTATACCTTCAATCAGCTGGGACGAGTAATCGCCGATTCGCAACGCGGGATGCTGTGGAAACCTATGGTCAAGTTAATGGATAGGGCAAAGGAAAGACGGACGCAATTACTTTCCACGTCTACCTCTACTGCTTCTGGCTCTAGTACTGGCCCATCTTCATCCAACCTCAATCCCGGTTCTGCTATAAGCTCGGAGCAATTCTCCCCGCTGGATTTATCTATCCAGCAACAACAACAGCAACCGGAGCAGGAACAGCAACAGTCCATGGCCATGCAATTAGACACGCAGAACTTCATGCATACACCCGAGAGTCACAGTGGTCTTGATGGTGCAGCTGCTGCTGCGGCAGTCGCTGCGTCTGCGTGGCCGAATGTCTGGGACGCGGTTGATTTCAGCTACGCGGGACCAGGACTGGGCAGTATGCAGATGGCGTGGGCGAATTACGAGAACTTTGTGGCAGATGTCTATGTCAATGTTGATGATCCGGAGATTATGCGGTGATCCTAATCACCTATCGATCATACATTCTTATTCTCTATGCCGAAGGGAGTACGAATTGAACTATTTGATGATGATGGAAGGGACCACGAACTGTGCAAATAGCACACACATTTGGTCTAAAGAAGGATATTGTGGGAAACAACTAACTAATCCCATCACCACCCCCTTAGCTAACCTAACCTACTACTCCGCCTATCATACATACACTCGTCAAAACCTAAGCATGCAGCAGCAAGGACTGCGCGAGCGAAATGAGAATACTGTGAATGAAGCTTGAAGAAGAAAGAAAAAACCGGGATAACACAACAGCCCCATCACCAATTCTACCTTCACCGATCATTCAATCAATCCTCCGCCACCCCGTTCCAGACGCCTAATTTATGTCAGATTGCCGATCAACGCTCCCCTCTCACCACCCTTACAAAGTAACGAAAAATAAGATAAAGATCATATCAAACTCCTCTCTCTCTCCAAAACGTCATGCCCTGACTACTACCATACATAATGAACAGGAGTGGGAAAGGGTGGATTTATTGGAACTTAGTGTAACCCCTGACGGGGGAAAAGGGAAGAAGTTTTGGAAATGAAAATGAGTTCACCACACCACCGCACGAAGAGAAAAGGAAGAAAGGAAGAAGAGAAAGGAAAAATTCCAGGGTATTTGTACAACAATATATCAAAGTAAAAATGGAATGAAACTCAGCAAATGCAATAGATAGCCAGATGAAGATGATGATAATGATGATGATAACATGAAAGTTCGTTCGTTGCTCGAGGCTCGCTGCTCGCTGCCCCATATCACGCATTCATTTTCAATAGTAATCCTCTTTCTCTATTATCATAATCAACTCAGTGAGTTCCTTACGCAGCGACCGATTACGGTCCCACGTTTCCACGATCTTCGGCCGATGACTGAGGAATACGGCTTTCTTCCACGAGAGCCCATTGTATTTCTGAGCCATGCCGGTCGGTAGGTTCCTGGCGATGTTGCGCAGGACCAACGCCGCCTTGTAGGCTACACCGAAGGGTTCGCCTCTCTCATTGACTGGTGTATCCATGTAGAACCATTTGCGGACGATCCGCTCTTGAAGTACAGCGCGCTTGGAGACTGGGGGCTCTGCATCGGCAGGGCGCTCTTCGGGCAGGTGTGATGCCACATGGCCGGCTACCATGGCGGTGTTGTTGCTGGGCCCGGATGAGCGGAACCGGGTGCAGTTGTCCCAGAGGCACGTGTGGACCGGGGATTCGGCATTGTCCAGGTTGTAGTGGCCCGGTGTGTCCGTGGGCTTGAGCTCCATGTGGTCGGCGAAAACATGGTTGCGCAGGTCGGTGGGGGTGGTGAAAGCGCGCTGGCAGGTTTTGGAGGGCTTCGAGTTATCTGCCCATTTGCAGTATTGGTAGGGGAATCCCTGGAAGGTGTAGGCTGTTTCTAGCGGACGGATGCCCTTGATGATGAAGCGAGTCGCCGCGCCAGGCCCGTTGATGACCTGCGCTTGCGCATTTGTGAATGTCGTGCTGACGTTCTTGATGAATTCGGCGGCCGGGAGGACACCACCGCCCGGTACCCGGGGGTCTGCGAATCGACTCTGGTATGCCTGCCACAGGGCTATTTGGGTGATTTCGCACTCTGCATCCTCAACGAAGCAACAACGCAACCAGCGTGAGCTACGCTCTGGCTCTTGTAGCTCCATTAGATCTTTCAGTAGCTCTGCCGGCACACGAGGGATCTCGGATGGCGGCGGTGCGACTTTCTCTTCCTGGAGAACTGTCTCTTTCTTGCTTGGACGCGCCTCGTGTGTCAGTAGGGCGATCATCCGCGGAACGAACACACTTGGGAAGTCGAAGATGTCAAGCATGGTCTCGATGTTCTCACGCGAAAGCGTGTACTGGTACCAAAAGTCCAGCGCTCCGCTTAGGATGTCCTTGTCTAAGTCCAGAAGAGTGTGGAAGTACATTTGTTGCAGAGCTTGTTTTGGCATGCGTTCCAGTGCTTGGTTACCCTCGGAATCGTTAATTTCAGTGGAGAAATGGGTAAGCGCCCAGAGCGCCCGAACGACGTGGGCACGATCTGGGGACTCGAGGCATTGAAGGAGGGAGATCCAAAGCGGATCTTCTGGGTCGGTCCTCAAGAACTTGGTAACCTCTTCCGCGATGTCTAACGCATCGTTCTTGATTTCATTGAGGCGAGGTTGGTTGGGAAGGTTGAGCAGGATGACCAAGAAGTCCCTCAAAAGTCCCTTCGCATAGCGTGAGACATAGAAAGCGTTATCGGGGAGTAGAACCATATTCCGGAGAACCAGGGTAGCTTCTTTCACATTCCGTAGACGGTGGTTGAACTCGTACGTTTCGAGGGTGTCATTAGGCAGAGTGACGGGAATTCTCTTGATCCTCTCGAGCAAATCGCGCGTTCCGTGTAGCGAGTTGAGGACATTAACGCGCTCCATAGGATAGCGGTATTCATACTGGAGTTCCCATTTTACGCCCGTGCATATTATGGAGACATCAATGGCCTTCTCCATCAGAGTTTCAGCCAGCAAAGGGAAACCCTCGAACTTAAATTTGTCCCAGCGCTGGTTGGAAATCTGAACAAGATGGTATAGAGCGAAATCGACCTCATCTGATATACCAGATTGCAGGCCGTAGTGGGCGCGCTTATAGATATGGTCCGCTATAGCGTGTCAGTGGTATTATCGTCATAATCATGGGTTGCTGTAAAGGCCTACGCACACTTGGGAACCTCGAGGTATCTGAGGGGAAAATAAGGGTCATAGAAATCAGGTTGTTTAGCCACCTTGCCCGGCACGGTGAGAAAGAGGCCCGGCCTGTTGCCTGGCGTTGCTACTTCGCGTGTGTTCATAGGTACTTTCTGCTCTTTGCCGTCCCAGCCCTCCGTGGGTAAGTGTGAATTGTTTGAGTTGGGCGCGGGGGAATTAGAATGCGTTTGTGACATCGAGCTTGGCTGAGGCGATTGATTTGAGTTGTGATGTGAGCGCCGAACCGGAGCAGTATCGGGAATGAATGGTTGATTGGCCTTGGGAGCCTGCCGCAAGCCCTCTACGGACAGTTAGCACTGGTCGTTCAACAAAAACGGAAGGGACGGAGGCAAAATGAGAGTGGTAGCACTTACCTCGAAGGGACGTGCGGGGGGTTTGAGAAGACATGTTGGCTTTGATTCGAGCACGCCAAAAACCGATTGCGAGTATCGCTCTGCGACTTCGAAGGGGATGACCGGTTCTCCTAGGGCGCCCTGGAATACCTCTGAGAAAGACCAAGGTTGACCCAACGGACCCAGTTTACTGGTCAAGGGCACCTTCCGCAAAAGAAGCGCGAGACCTCACTATTAAACGCGCCAAAAAGAAGTTGGAGTCGAAAATGCTCCGTTTCTCGAAAGCCGTTCTTCCTGTTCTTCTGGAATATCGTTCCGAATTCCCTTTCTCAGATGATCGGAGTATGTTGGCGTTAAATCGATAGGTCGTCCTGTTCCGGAGAGTTTGTTCGCCTGCTGGGCTCGAGGGATGTTTTCCGGTGACGGGCTGAGAGCTGGGTCGCGATATGAAGCTATCGGAGAACTGCCTATTGGAAACCAGAGAGGATGCGACAACGGGACAACAACAGACGTTCGCGTGAGAAGCGCGCTGGATTTTAATCGAAAGAGCCGCTGCGAGGATTATCGAAGAGTAGCAGCGACAGATATAACCGGAGGACAGGCGCCAATTCCTTTGTCGAAAGCCGGGGGAGAGAGGGCGCAGCGTAAATATGAAGACAAGCTGATCCTGCGATCGATCCGTCCGTCGTTCATCCGCAGGGCAAAAGTCCGCGCTGCTTCCTTCTGGCCTCAGGCGCGTGGCCGGAGTCTTGGTTGTTCCGGAATGCTCGTTTCCGGTCATGTTTGCTTGGTTTGTCTGGTTAGGCCAGATGAGTAATCCTCACCACATGGAGTGCCTGAATTACCTTCACGTATATCAGGCACCCACTATACCGGAAGATCAGGGTTCGTCGATCATCATGGCTTGCATTGGTCTATCTCACTTCCTCTTCCTTATTCTGACCTCCAGTGTAGGAGATGCAGGAGCAACAAGGGATTCCACTGATCTTGGTATTTCATATCGCGTGCATTTGACTACTGACGAGCCCATTAACCGAAGCCTAGTAGCCTCTACGTGAGAAAAACTAATTCTCTTTGCCAAAGCAGCGCATTCGAGACCTGACACACTACTATTAGCTGTCTATTCTAGTTCACTTTTTTATATCTCTCTATTGTCTGGTATCTGATACTATGGATGACTGTAAAGATGTGTAATATCCGTGTTGGCAATACAAGGCTTAGCCTCCAGTCACCTGCTCTATACTTCCAAGCACCATGTCATTTACTTGTCTCCTAGTGCCCCTCATCAACTCCTTCATATCACTCACCATGGTCTGGCCATCATATAAATCTTTATATATCACTTTAACATTAACATAAATTGTCCCTCCATATCCACATCATAGTCCGCATGATGCAACGCCTGGCCCAACATCCCCCTGATTCAACCGTTCTTACTCGTCTATCATTAGCCAAGTTCTCCCATACAACTACATCGCTTACCCACAGAGGCCCGCTCAACTGGAGTCATATAATGGGGAACGGAGATATGACCGCTATCTTTGAGAGGCGCACGATGACAAGCTTCACCCCAGACAGAGTACTATTGAAGGTCCTCCGTGTCCATGAAAGCTTGGTAATAGTCCTCTTGGGGATAGGAGCAGAGGAAAGCCAGATGCTAATTGAAGTGGCATTCAGGAAGAGATTGACCTCACTCACTTCGTTATCGAAGCTGAGAATATAACCCAGTCGAGTCAACACGCAGTATCCAAGCCAATATTCGCAGTGGTCGTGAAGCCACCGTGCCTTGCAGTGAAATATCCACGGGGAAATACGGTACGAAAAGAGGCTATCTGTTTCAACTCGTAACCAACACCATCATAGGTCCGCCGATTTCAAATCAAGTTCACCTTTGATTCCGACTACTACACCGCTTTGTCTATTCTTAGAGAATTAGGGTGTCCAGTCTCAGAGCCTAGCGTCGGTAACATGCGCAAATTGACCTCGTCACAATGGAACTCGGGCTCGATCGAAGGGGCATCTATGAGCAGAGAACCTCCATATAGCTTGAGTAGTATGCCAGGTCCATCCGAGCCTGTGGGTGCTTCTAGTCTCCAACGCTCATCGACCACCGGTGCATCAGGTTCGTCATCTAGCGTTACAGCTTGTGGGTTTCCGTCGCCATTGGCGCAATACTATCTATCTGACCCCAGCAGGCAACTCATTACCATCTACATCATGGAGTACTGCTCAAACAAGTGAGACGACCTGTGCTAAGGGGTGCAAAGACCAAGTTTCCCTCGCAACAGCACATACACCGTTCCAGAACGCCCCAGCAGTCGGCCAGAGTGACGTGACAAGCTCCGACATAATCACATCAAGGCCCTTCACCTCGTCAGCTGCTGAACGTCTTCTCAAACCAGAGATAGACATACCACCACGGAGAGTTCTTCCATGGTCGAGTACTTCCAAGAGAGCCAATACCATGACAAAAGCACCACCCACTGTCCCATACGCGACAGTCACCGGTGGTACCTCATCGAACATTGGTACGGTGGCTAGATATAAATCTTGTCACATCTACACGTGCACTAACCCTTTATGAAAGCAACAGATACAACCAACAATTCTCAAATACCTACCAAACCATCCCCAATTGCCCATTCAAACCAAATGAAAATGCAAACGCAAACACGAACAGCCACATCAGGCGAAAGGACTACCATGCCTCGCCTACGACTACTCCCACCAAAATTACCCAACGCCGAAAACGGCAGACAAAAGCCTCAGCCAGAGTCAGGACCAAACGTATCATCTCACACAGAGCCATATAACCACGCTCCGTGCCAAAAAGAAGCCAATCCGCCAGTTGTTCCATCGTACTCAGCTATCAATAGCAACCTACAAGCCGAGAGAACCGAAGCGAGCAAACTATCGACAGGGAAGCAAGGAGAGGCGCAACAAGCAAAAATTGTGGATGCTCTAACGATAGCAGATCTTTCTTCATATATATCTAACCCCACCGAAGAGCGTATGGCTAGTTTAGAGACGTGGATCTGCAATCAGCTCGAAGACGATGGGTTCCTCGAGCTTTGTCGGGATGTAGAAGGTATATGGCAGAGGATTGCGTTCGGGAGATAACATGAGGGTTTAATAATTAGTATATTGTTTTGTTGCTCAACTGTATTTTATATATCATCAGGGATTGAGATTGATGAAATATGCAGTTCCCAGAGATGGTTAAAGAACAACTGAAACCCTAAGTATACAGTGTACGGTCTACTATTTCGTAATTGCGCTAGATCATACCAATAGCTCATGATTTCACTAACTGACCCAAACATTCGGCATCAAAATCAGAGACCGTGATCGTCCTCAGTTTGCGTCGGGGATTTTTCTTCTTGTGCTTGCACTTGTCCAGGAGGCACTCTTCAGTATTAGCACTTTGGAGCGGGTTCGGTGGTTGATTAGTGGCGTTAAGATACTCTACTATACTCTTACTAAGCTTAAACCCGGTGCCTAGTACCTGATCTCTCTCTCTGCTCGCAACCGCCCCCTTATAGGATGCCCCTTTTCACAAAGTATCCACCAATGCTCGATGCGAACATTGCGAACAATCAGACCATACCCTACTTGGTATCTACGGAACGCTCAGAATGCAGCTATCCTGGAAACCAGGATATACCCTCTCCAATAGGCCCGTAAGAAGGTCAGCAGCCCGTAGGACCAACAGGGGTCGGTTGGGAAACGCAGATCGACCTCAGCAATTTGTGTTCGTTACAGAGAATCCTATGAGAGATCGTAAGACCATATATTTTCATAAACCAGCCATTATATATCCACATCCGGAGCGCCTGTTGAACCTATTACTAATTACGAGGGAAAAAAGACCCTGAACCTGATGGTATTGTCCTGTCCTTTGTCTGGCTTCTAAAGGACTAATAATAGTAAATTACGGTTGTTGGCTAACATGAAACTCGTTTCTCAAGTCAACGTTTCCAAGGAATTTAGCCTTTCCGTAGAGACGCCATTTGAGGTCTCGGGTGATGCATCGCCAACTACAGCTGCTGATCCTAGGACAGCTGGATTACAGCTTCATCGAGATAACAGCGAAGACCAAGGCCAAGGCCAATCCCCGTGTTCATCTACACCGACAGACGACGGGCAGCTACAATTAGCTGACGAAGACGCCTTCTATGAATGGTCGAGTCAAGTCGCTACTACTAGTATAGATTCAAGTTCCATGGCAGCTCCAGACCTCCCCAACACTACTATATCTATGCCACCGAGCGTGCTGTACAATAACATCTGGCAGCGATTTGGGCCTGTCCTTCAAAGATGTTCGCTTATTCTGCTGCTCCCAGTTGCTCCTGTCAATGCCCACTAACAAGTCATAGACAATATGGAATTCTGCACGATTCCATTAACGTTCGATTTAAAGATGAATCCGTTTCGATATCACAAAACCATCGTTCCGGAACCTATGTTTCTGGTCCATGCGGTGATGGCTTTAGCGGGTCATCATGTTAAGAGCCCATCAACCGATGACCATCACTATACAGCGTTGAAAATCCTCCGCGAGGGTCTTAACGCATCTGGTAATGTGGAAGATGGCTCCTCCGTGCTTGATGCGATTATGATTTTATTTTCCTTCGATGTAGGTTTGCACTTTTATCTTTGTTTCTCGGACCTATTCCAAATTGATAACGAGAGTTAGGAAACTCAATCCACCCTTGGATATTGGAGTACACATCTCAAGGGAGCCTATGGCCTCATCGAAGCGTGCGGGGGAATCGAAGCATGGACCATGTCCGCTCGGGCAGACGCTCAAATAGCATTGCTGTTGTGGTATATAAACCCCCCACCCAACCAAACATTTCTACGCAAAATCAGCCCGGCCCTTCCAGCTAAACTATTTAGGTGGGATGCCATCATTAGTCTCTTATCCCGGGAAGACTGCGTGTTCCCGTACGCATACGTCGAAACCATCCTATCGAACCCCGATGATCGGATGTGGAATTTCTTTGACCTCTGCGGGTGCCCACACAGCGTGGTCACGCTGCTCATGCAAGTTGTGCGTCTGAGTGCCGAGAAACGCCAATCGTCGTCCATGCGGTACGTGACCTTCGACACCACGATGATTGCCCAAATCGAGCAAGCGCTCGAGTCCTGGCATCACATCTTCCCTGCCGCACTTGCCTTCGGTAGTAGCGAAGAGGACATCCATAAAGACCAAGATTGTATGCACTGCTCAGAGGCATGGAGACACGGCCTGCTTCTCTACATATACCGTGTATTCCGATGGAAGCCGGGAAGCCCGATTCCCACGCATGTTGTCCGTTGGGCCCGGATTGTTGTGGACCATGTGGTAGCGTGTCGCGACGAGAGCATGGTCGCCCGGCAAGCGTTGCTGCCACTCTTCTTTGCGGGCTGCGAACTACGCGATCGATCGGTACGGAAGAAGATTCTGCATTTCTGCTCGGTGTGGAATGACCGGACGCGGTATCAGATGTTTGGGAGCACCATCCCGTTGCTTGAAGAAGTATGGGCGGAGCAGGAGGCGAAGGGGTTTGAGAACGTGTGGTGGGGTCACATCGTGGATCGAAAACACACCGTGTCTTGTTATCCGTTGCAAATGCGGCTTTGCTTTGGATGATTCAAACAAAAAGTCGATATACATTCGCGGTCAGCTTTTACTAAAGGCGAATCTGGGCTGCTGGCTTACAGAGATCCATAATTATCTTTATCACCACGCGTCATGGGGGCAGATACTACGATGGCCGGGTAGTTGAGCAACTTCCACTGGCCACTATACTGTGCTGCTGTCCCATGCTTGGTGCAAGACCAAGATCAGCAGGGCATAGAATCGCGTCAAAGGTAGCGCCTATAGGCCCTGGTTGTCTATACACCTGCGGGCCGCGGCACTGTCGCTCCTCCGCTCTACAGTGGCCTCCTGCATAAATGGGCTGTAAGATCTGATCTCTTTGCCCCATCGGAGGACCACAAAAGGAGTTGCCACCAGGCCCAAGGACACAAATGCAAGCAGCGAGCTTGCCCACTGAAATCCAATATTCGTGTACATGGCTGCTGCGGCCAGAGGGAGAAAGGCGATAGAGATGTTCTCGACCAAACCCACCGCCCCGAGGGCGCTAGCAGCATACTTGCTGTACGCGTTGATGAGATAGTTAGCATTGCCAACGATGACCGCCGTCGTCCCAAACCCCACCATCGCCAGGCCGACGGTGGGTGCCATCCAGTGTATGGAAGTGTAAGATGTCCACCCATACACGAACATTCCGCCCGTGACACCAAAGAGTCCACCAATGATCGATACATGAAGCCGAGCCTCTGGGATTGGCGTGCCCGGTGCCTCGGTATTGCGGGTCGCAGATGCATAGTACCAGGGATCGGTTAAGATGCAAAATCCACCGCCCAGGAGTTCCCCGATCACAATCGCACCTTGGACATACCCACACTGGATGGGATCCCAACCATATAGCTCCTTGTATACCTGCTCGACCGATTGCGTAAAAAGATAGATTGTTCCCAAGCTGAAGGAAGCCCACACCGTCGCAACGAACACAACCCCTTCAGTACATAACATGTACAGAGGCCGTTGAACGCTCTGCAGGATAAGCTGAGGCAATGCTACCCGATCAATCTTCTCAGTCGTGTACGCGTTCGTCCCCTCGCGGCGCAGTCGTTTGGCCTCAGCGCGTAAGATCGCTGGCCCGCGGCTCTCTGGCTGACCGAAGATCAGAATTGGAAATAGGGCAGCGGTCCAGATCAGTTCGATGTATCCAATCCAGCGCCATGACAAGAATTGCAGGATGGCAGAGCCAACCACCGGGCCCAGACTTGTCGCCGCCAGATAGACGGTCACGTACAGACAAATTGGGACACTCCGAGCTCGATCACCGTGAAAGACATTCGATGTAATACCGGCAACGGCGTCGCTTATCAGCGGAACACACCCTCCGCTGAAGAATCGAACCACAATCAGGGTGTCAAAGTTTGGTGCCACTCCTACAGGAATCAAAAAACAAACAAAGCCAAAATAGGTGGTGAGAAGGACAGGTCGAACGCCAAAGTCCTCCATCACAGGAAACAGAAGAAGCGGGCACAGCGCAGCCCCGATAGCCCAAGATGTTGTTAGCCAGTAGGTATTGGGGAACGTCGCATCGGAAATGTGAAACTCGTCCCCAATGGCCGTGTGAGCTACCGTTAGGATGGTCCCATTCATCGAGCAGACAAAGCTCGCAAGCAAGCCAATGCCCGTGGCTTGCCATTTCTTTGAAAGGGGCCAGTTGTATGGATCTTTGGGGTCATCCTCTCCGTTCCATGTGACAATCACGCTCTCTTGCGCAGAGCTTGGGCCTGCGTGTCATGATGAGTGAGTGGATTGGCCTCAGTTAATAAGTTCAAGGGCATATGCATATCAACCTTCGGTATGAGGGCGCGATGCGGGGTACGAATCGATTTCGAGCTCGTCCAGTGTGATCGGTACGTTTCCAGGATCGGCTCTAGAGCCATCTGCTTTCGGTGCGATCTGTCGCCGCGAACAATCCAGGGGTGGCATCACAGCAGAGATGGTGGCGCGAGAAGGAGGCCTCCCAGAGATGTCCAGCTCCGTATAGCAGTAATATATCTGGTTGTTGTGGTATCAATCAGGGCAAGGTGGGTAGCATGCTCAACGGTGTTGGAAGTAGTAGTCTGAAGAATGAATGATTCAGAATAAATATGAGAGCGTGTCTTGGGGTATACCATTTTCTTTTTATAAGGCTAATTCAGATTGAATAGGACTAATCGATTATGGATCTATAATGATATGTGTAGGTACTTAGTTGTGTAGCATAGGAATTCGACTAGTCCTAATAAGGTAATTATACTAAATAGGTAAGAGGCCCAACTAGGAAATCGGGCTGTATAGGGTAACTGATAGAATCATCAAATGTTTAAAGTATCCACAAATCATACTTCAATCTACTCTGTACAAGTCCAATGCGTAATAATGTCATCTCTGAATCGACATGATCATCCTCCTGGAAATCTAAAGTCTTGGCGTAGATAGACAGCCAGTATGATGTAGATGCGGATATTACAGGGACGGGTAACTAAAGGTACTATAAACTACTACTCGGTGGGTTACGCTTCAAATACCTCATGGGGAAAGCAATAATAATATCCATTTAGCTATACAGGGGCCACGAAAAGAAGAGAATAGTTGCGCTAGTCACATAAAAGCAATCATTAATATGGTGAGGTATTGTCAAGCATTTTCTTTTTTGGGGGAAGAGTTATGAAGAGAAGAGAAAATCCAAGCCAAATTGAATCAACTCAATTTTTTCCAAAAGACAGTCATCACTGAAATACACTCCATGCAACCGATCCCAGTATACAACCTAGTTTACCGGCGACGATAGATCAACCCAGAGAAGACGTTAAGGTAACCTTCCTTGGTGAGGAGAGTGAAATCCACGACCGCGTGACCATGCGGTTGCGCGGCCGATGCCATGTTTGGCGATGTGGCATTCAGGTTGTGTTCAGAGATGGCGGGGGGCGGAGAGGAGGCGTTGGCGGCTACTTGGCCTTCCGCACCGACAGCCAGGTCAGCGAGGTGTTGGAGAGAGCGTTGTTCGTTCGGGCCCATCACAGGCGGAGCTGCAGAGCCGCTTTTTCCGAGGCTGGGGTCATGGAGCTGGGTCTCCTGAGCTTTGGTTCGTCTCCATTCCAGGAAGACGCGGATCTTCGAATCCCAACCGGGGGTGCCAAAGATGTCGCCGTATTCACCGGACTCGGCGGAACGTTTGGAGCGGTAGTCGAGAATTTCTTCGAGTTTTTTGAGCGCTTCCCAGCATTGGTTCGAGTATTCGGGAAGCACAGTAGCCTCGAGAAGAGTCATGGATGCTAGCGCAAGACTATGCAGGTCGAAAGGTGTCGCCAGTCGGGACTGCATACTGGCCTTGTGCAACTCGTTCATAACCTCTTCCGCGGCGTAAATAATTTCGTATGGACTGTGAACGAATATATGCCGCTTGATCAGGAGGCGACTGGTCCAGTACAGCTGGTTTTGTAGACTTTCAAAGAAGCCATAAGATGTGCCATCCTCGGAATTCTCGTGCGGTTTGCGGAAATCTGCTACCTCGGCCAGACGCTCGAGACCTGCGACCATGTTCGCTCCAACCAGACGGCCCAGCCCTGTGTTTGTCTGGCATATGTTGTGCTCTTGAGCGACGAGAGTGACCATGTCGATGAGGATCGTAGAGTAAGATGCAATCCCCGCGGTGGCTGAGCCGAGGACTCTCTCGTCCTCGCGGCCACCGATTTCGAACGTTCCCAAAACACTGTAATCAGCAACGCTAATTGCATACCAGCGAGACAGAAGAGCCAAAGAGACCCAACTGCGCCTTACAAGGTTTGCGTCAGAATCAACGTCTGGATCAGACGATCGCTTGGTTCTCAGCTGTCCGAAGGCTTTCGCCATATCCGAGCCGAGCTTTGTCGCAGATTGAATGAGAGTGTGCTTGGGCACTCCATCCTTCATCACAAAGTTGTCTGGACCCCGCGAGTCACAGTCAACAATCATGAGGAGTAGAGTCTGGAGCCAGACCAAGTTGATAGCGGCCGGGCGGAGCATGGCAGGCTGTCGTGTATAGTACAAAAGAAGATCCTGTGCATTGTCGAACGATGTTACCCTCTCAAACGCATTTGTCATGCGATCCATGTTGGTACGTGTCACCGTGAGCAAGCTGTACAGGAATATCTCCTGCACCTCTCGGCTGCATTGGTGTAGAAGCTCAAGAAGCCGCTCCTTTGAGTGTGGCAAAATGGGAAGGACTGGGTGAATCTTTTGGTAGTACCTGTTTGAGGTTAGAGAGCTTGTCCTACAAACAATCATCCCTACTATAGAACTTACGCGTTGAGAGCGCCTTCATCCACATCCAAGGGTGTCATATCCTCATCCAATGCTTGCTTAGGCACTTCGGGTATGTCAAGCCCAGCCGGCAAGTCGGTCTCATTGCCAGTTGACCAGAAAAGATTGCCGGATTTGGGTGCGGTGTGATTCACGACCGAGGGATTGCAAGGATCCGTCGCGCTTTCTCCAGCCTCTAGTAGTAGGGTCAGTCTCCCAAACTTACAATAGCGACGGGTAGTGGTCACGAACCAAAAGCGTTCTGAGAGCGAGGATTGAACGGCGCCTGCGCAAAGGATGAGCTTGGAAGCCCTTCAAACACGGAGTATGTTCTCTTGCGACCAATAGGGCCAGCGTCGATTGGTGGCGAAAAGTCTTGGTACGCCCTTGGAGAAGACACTTCGTTCATAGTCTGGTATGGCATGTCGGGATGAACCATAGTAGGTTGCATCTGGCTTTCGAGGGTATGCAATCGTTCGGCAAGCTCTTTGATGTAACTATCATCGACGTTAGCCAAACTTCATCCTTCAACGCCAAAACCCACACGCGCATCGCAATGCTTACCCTTTGCTAGGACCACGTTTCATGGGAACACGACTGAACTGGCATACGACTCCAAGCCGGCGACAATTTGAACAAGTTTCAACACCGGATTCCGAGCTTGCATCGCAACGGACCTAGTCAAAGTAACATGTTAGCTCACCTGGACCCGCGTCGCGTCTAGATGAGGAAAATAGAAAAAG